ATTTAAATTAATCAAGTTATAGCCACTTAAAGTTCTTATTTGATTAGTTTAAATTTGTGGACACCCTGTATAAAATGGTAAGTTTATTATCATTGATATATAAAATATGATTTCTTGTTACCCTACACTACGAATTGCGTTTACATAACTTAAAGAATTCTAAAGTATTTGACACATGAAAATAATATTAGATTTTGATAAAATTCGAATTCATTAAAAAACCTTTAGATTTAGACATTATAAATCGTATTAAAACAAACACTTAATTTGCTCAGAGAATCCCAAAAAGCAATAATATATAGGGTATTTCATTTAGAAAAACACAACTTTGATACTTTTAGGGCTTTTAGGACACTGTACATTGCAAAAATATTTTTAAAATGTGCACCCGATAGGCGTCTGTGGATTCATCAAATAATACTTTGCAAAAAACAAACGTGCCACCCGCAAATGTCCGTGCCGTATAGCGTGAGTAACCCTGTATAGTCTTACCTGCAGCTGCCAGTGTCACACATTTAAAATTGTTCTAATTGTAACATTCTGTCAATGTTTTTAGTCGGTTTTGTTCTTTGAAGTGTTCCCCTACAGTTGTGAAGCTAGAAGAAAATGCGTACGACCAGACAACGCAAGCTGACCACTGCGAAGGAGCGCGTTCTTCATTACATACTAGTCAGAAGACTCAGACACACCGATCATACGAAAACACTGCCGGACGAGATTCTGATCCACATATTCTCCTACTTGACTCATGAGGAACTGTATTTTTCAGCGCGAGCGGTTTGCAAGCGCTGGAGCACTTTGGTGCCCACGCCATCCTTGTGGAGATCCATTACAGGCCACAGTGGGATCTCCACCAATATGTTGTGCAACTGGATCGAGCATGCTCCATTACTGAAAGCCATTCGCTTGTATCATCGGAGGGATATGAATATCATTGTGCAAACTTTAGCCATCCATTCTCCGAATCTGGAATACTTTATTGCAAAGAACTGCTGCGGCACGTCTAGATCAAGTGTGATTCGCGGCAATTTTCTGTGCAGGCTGATCAGGAAATGCCCAAAATTGAAGCATTTTGGTTTCGTGGAATGTTGCATTCGATCGTCGAAGTTCTATGCGATGTTGAAGCAGAGGCTCTGCCATTACTTCAACATCAATGGAGGTGGTAAATTAAATGGAACTCGCATTATTTTCATAACAACATAGCCAAGTGGAGTTTCAGCCAAGCGAGGAAAAAGTGAAATCTACTAAACCTATCGCTTGTAAAGAGATGAAGTGGAATATAATGAACTTTATTATTGGAATTATTGGGAGTTGAACAAAAGCCATCGCATTCTTTCTGGCGCAAAGTAGTTTTAAGGGCCAAATCTGCGCTGCTTTGCGGCGGCAGAGCGCTAGTTTTACTGTTTTTCAATTTCAGTTACCAACTTCATCAGTTTTTGACTCGCTTAAGGCCAACAATGAATCCCTTTTCAACGTCGACGGCCATCGATCGCTTAGCGAACTTTAAAGGAATTTGAGTTTTCTCCACAGGAACAATTTCAAAGTTCCTCAATAAATCGCATAAAACTAACTTGATCTCCAGAAAAGCAAACCTGTTTCCAATGCAAGATCTAGGGCCGACCCCGAAAGGCATGTAGGTGAAAGGATTGATAACGTTTTCCTCAAACCGATCGGGATCGAATTTGTTCGGTTCCGCATAGTACTGGACATCATGATGAATGCTGCGGCTGGATATCAAAATTCGATCACCTGCATTGAGGGAAACTGCAGGCTCCTTGCGGGTTGCTGGGATGGTATATTGCTGAACACATACTCTGTCCAGCACGGGGATAACTGGCCATTTTCGCAGAGATTCTGGAAAAACCACTGCAAATTATTTGAAAATTAGTGTTAAAGCGGTGGATTTTACCCGACAGCACCATGCCCAAGTACTTCATGCCAAGCAACGCTTCGTATGTAATGCTACCATCGCATTTGTCCAAGGTTTCGTTGATTTCTTTTCGCAATTTGTCTTGAACATGAGCATTAACAGCCAGTTCATGGCAGGTGAAACTAAGGGTGGATGAAACAGTTTCGTATCCAGCCAGCAGAAAGGCAAAAGCATGCGAAACAATGTCTTGGTTTGTGATTGAATGCTCCTTCATGCGAAGCCGACTTGAAATAAACTGCCGATCCTTTTCAACGTTTAACTCAGTTCGAGGCCCGTTCTTCACTTCGAGTAGAAGCTGAAGCACATCCGGACGCACTATGTTTAGTTCTTCTCTGGTTGCTACAGTGTCTTGTATCAAGTTGGTGAAGAAAGTGATGACTTTTTGGGGAAAGAATCCGATCTTCAGTTTCTAAGGCAGGCAAAAGTGAGTTGGGGTATTTTAGAAGTATGCTCCGAACTACTCACACGAAACAGCCAGGGAAACAGGAATAGCAGGAAGAATTTGATGACCGTTAGGAAGCCTTGAAAGTTGGTGGCAGCTTTTCCCATTTCGAAAAATTCGTTATGAGGATTTTCTATTGAATCAACTTTAACGCCAAAGGCCGATGTGGCAATCACATCGCTGGAGAACCTACAAGTCACAATTGTTTATTTAATATATATACAAGGTGGCCTAAAAATTCCTTGTTGTTTTGTTTTTTTATCAAAAGCCAATTTTCTCTGTGGAAATAAATGTGCTTTCAAATGGCCATTTTATGGTAGGCACTCGTACATTCTGAAGGCCTCTTTTAGGTCCACCTCGATCAGGGCTTCAGGCTTATCCAGAAAGTGTTTGACAAAGTCTTCGGAGGTTTCCGATATTATCTGATACAAGAATCGCATTTTGCTGCTTGTGAATGCTCCAGATAGCAGCAGTTTCATATCGCGCCATTTTTTCCCTAAAAACATTTTATTTTACACGCCATTAAGCGCCATTAAGTACATCGGTTTACCTGCGCAAGTTCTAGTCTCCATAGCAACATTGAGTTCTTTTGTTATACACAGTGACTGTTATGGTTGACGCAAATGCCAACTTTCGAGTGATTCGTTAAGTTCAGTTATAAAAGAGGAAATACGGGAGTATTTAAAATAAAAATGTTACTCGAGTGAGTGGAAAGTTGTGAAGCGTTGTCCAAAGGACGCATTGGAAGCGCGGTAAATATAAAAAGTGCTTTAAGTGTAACACAAGGTGAACATTCTAAATAGTAGACGTCAAACCAGGGGCGGATCCAGCTTTAAATTCAGGGGGGGGTTATGTAGAAAAAGTACAGCCTTCTGTTGTCTATTAAATTAGAAAAATTATCGTTGTTTTGTGCAAGGGTGGCGTAAGATTATTGCAAAATTTCATGTTTTCCGTCCCGTTTTGCATGTTTGTCGGAAGCAAAATGAGCCAGAACGCTCGTTTTTACAACATTCCAAAGAGAATTAAATGACCTTTTTAGAAAGTGAACCATCGATAAGGAAATGTTGGCAGTTTTCTCAAAAAATGTTTGAATTGAAGAAGTTTTAGATTTGCGTGGTTTTTTTTTGAGTTGCAAAATCCACTTGAACATGACGCTGCTTTTTTCAAGGTTTCTCAAGAACCATTCGAGCCAGAGAATTCGTTTTGACATCGTTGGATAGAGAATTGAAAAGTCGATTCAGTCGTAGCAACGTGAGTGAGGAAATTCGAGTAGTTTTGAAACACTCAGGTGCAAGAGTATGCCAAAATTTCATGTTTTTCGTCCCCTTTTTGCTCATATATCGGAGGCAAAATGAGCAAGAACGCTCATTTGTACGTCATTCTAGACATAAATAAATGACCTTTTTAGCAAGTAAACCATCGATAAGGAAATGTTGGCAGTTTTCTCAAAAAAGGCTTGAATCGATACGCTGAATTCAATACGCTGAATTCAAGAAGTTTTAGATTTGCGTGGTTTTTTTTGAGTTGCAAAATCCACTTGAACATGATGCTGCTTTTTTCGAAGTTTTTCAAGAACCATTCGAGCCCCAGAATTCGTTTTGGCATCATTGGATAGAGAATTGAATGGGGGGGG